TGAGAAACACCATGACTTAACAGAACAGGCTTGATCCCAAACAACCTATCTGCCCCTCAGCTTGGGTCCCCCTCAGTCTGAGGCCCTGTGGGACTTATATGGCACCCCTTCACTCAAGTACTCAGTCCAAGAGAAGGCCAAGTCTTTTTCTGTTAGATTCAGGGACAGGCTGGGTTTCCTTGTCTCCTCCCTGCTATCCAGAATCTCAGCCTGCTGTGACCCTTCTCTCACAACCAAAGGCTCACAAAGGTCCCACTCTCCAGCCAGAGCTCAGGGACAGAAATGACTACATTTCTGTGCTGAGAGGAGACAGAAACCAAGCAGGGACCAGAGTTCCCCCAGCTGCCCGACAAAGCAGAGACCAAGGTCCAGCCTTCCAGAGCCCTGAAGGCAGAGTCATAAGGCAGCAGGGGGTGGAGGGGAGGTCATCAGAGCCCTCTTGGCCCTGGGCTTCCTAGGTAAGCTACAACAAGTTTCATACTGAGGGGCTTCAGGGGTCAAGCTAGAGGAGGCAATGTGGATCTATTCCTTGGGCGAGGGGCCCAACAGATAGGCAATCCATGTGAACAAGAGAAAGTGCCGAGTAAATGTGTTGAACAGAGCAGCAGCTGGCTTGTCCCTGGTTCCAAAATGACTCCTGGAAATGGCTCAGACACTGCCAGGCCCCACCAGACCCTCGGGGCTCCTATTCCCAAAGGGTTAAAGGGCAGAAGGGGCACAGGAAGCCTGGGGGTGGACAATGGTGCTTCTGTCCTCCCTAGGGCCTGAGCATTCCTAAGGCATGAACACAGCCATCTGGGGAGGGGGCCCAAGGGAACGGCCCATCTACTGAAGCCAAAGCCTGGGCTGCACAGAGGCTCTGCCCCCCATAGGAGCCAGTGCTGCAGCTGCCAGTCACCACCCCAGCCCCACCCCAGCCCCACCCCTTTCTAGCACAGGCCCTGTTGGGGCCACTGAGGGGACCCCTGTGGGCACAGGAGGATGTGAGTGTGTGAGTACTCTCTCTCTAGAACACACACATACAGATATACAAATGTGCACATGCAGCCAAATAGGAACCCAAACAAGACTAATGGAAGTTATACAAATGTACACATGTGACCAGATATATGAGCCCCATGCATGCAAATAAAAATACTAGAAAATACACACACACACACACACACACACACACACACACACACACACACACACAGAGGCTCAAAGTTCCCCAGCAACCCAACTCTCCCATGCAAACTTCTGAACAAGGACTGCCCTCCCCCCATCTCTGCCTGACAAGGGATGCTTTAGACTGGAGTGCTGGGGAGGGAGGGGGCTGCTAGAAAGGCAGTTCCCACTCTTCAAGCTTCATCTTCAGACCGATGTTGAGATGGGCAGGTTCCCAAGTCCCTCATGGACAGGTATATATGCTGCCATCCTCCTGCCCCACCCAACCCCTGGCTTACACAGCTGCCCCTGCTGAGTTTAGGGGCCAGAGACTGGCACAAGCTGCTGAGTGAAGACCCGAAGCCTTGCAGCTTTTCAACCTGGAAAGGCTATATAAAGCTCCTGGGGCCTTGGATGGGGGGGCATGGACAAAGCAAAGCTTCCAGAAAGCCCAACAGACCAGATCCTCCCCTGGCAAAAGAGGTACCCTCCCTCCTCCAACTCCTCCCTCTCCCTCCAACCACAAAGCCACAAAGACCCTGTTGATATTTGGGGAACAGGCAGGGTGATCATCAGATGGTCCCTCTCCTCTCCTCAAGTCAGATGAGTCTCCATGGGGGGAGCGAGGTATCTAGGCCCAACTCAGGTTACGGAGCCAGCGGAGGTATGATTAGGGTCTATTGCTGGGGTTCACAGCTCAGTGCCAAGCTCAGGGCCATCAGGAACTCCTGAGAGAGGGCTTTAGGGGAACTAGGAAATGGAGCAGAGAAATACGAGATAAACAAAAGAAGAATCTGTTAGAGCAAGGAGCACCAAGGGGAAGGGCAAGTAGGCAGAGGCAGGAAGGGGGAGAGAGGAAGGGAGGAGGAGCAACCATCTCCCAACCTGCATAGGCAAATGAGGAAGCAGGGGAAAGGTCAAGTGGCCTGGTGAGAAGATAACAAGATGGCAGCAAAGAGCCTTGGTGAAGCAGGAGAGGATGACCAGATCAGAGCAAGTGGCAGATGGAAAGATTATGGAGCCCAAGGGCTAGGGTTGCTGAAGGTCCATTCCAGATGGTCCCTATCAAGGGAGCAGGGGGCAGGACAAAGATGCTGCCAGCTTGAGAAGCCTGGAAGATCTCTGCATGCGACCCCTACTCCACAGCCTGGATACATGCTGTCTTGGCACTACTGGCAGTAACTGGAGTGACTGGGCTGGGCCATTCTGCAAGGCCACATCACCATCACAGTCCAGAAGAGGATCCAGTTGTGGCCATTTTGAGTGGTACCAGGATCAGTTTGCTTTGAAAGGGACCTTGGAGATATCAGTGACCCTGCCGCTTGTGTGACAGCCAGCAAAGTTGAAGCTCAGGTCGGGCAGGTGTGGTGGTACAGTCCTGTCATCCCAGCATTCCAGGAAGGCTGAAGCATGAGGATTGTTGTGAATTTGAGACCAGCTTGAGTTACATTACATAGTGAGTACCAGGTCAGCTGGATTAGAGTGAGACCCTGTCTCAAAAAACAGAGAGAGAGAGAGAGAGAGAGAGAGAGAGAGAGAGAGAGAGAGAGAGAAGCTCAAAGACGTGATTGACATTACATAGAGAGTGAAGGGTGAGAGGGATTAGAGAGAGACACTGTCTCAAAAAAAAGAGAGAGAGAGAGAGAGAGAGAGAGAGAGAGAGAGAGAGAGAGAGAGAGAGAAGCTCAAAACAGGGAAGGGCCTAGCAATGGCCAATGTGGCATATTTGGATACTACCTTCACCTTCCCTAGCCAGTCTTGGCCAAGTGCTTGCCATTGGAAGTTCCTGTCCCTCAAATGTTCCTCAGTGGCAGAAAGAATACAATCTTAGGGAGACCAATTAGGGAGCACAGCAGGGCTCTCCTGTTCACTGGCCTTCCTTCACCGTCACTTTCCCTTCAGATAATCATGAATAAAAAAAGACAGCAAATCTGCACCCCATAGGGACAAGGAAGGTATTGGTAGCTGGTTACTTCCATGGGCAGCCTGGATTCAGCCCAAGCAGGCACTCAGCAGTGAGAACTGCTCAGTGAATGGCTACCCACTCATGGTTGCGCAGTTTCTGGCCAGTCATTCTGTGAGCAGCCCCCATGTGTGGCCACCCCTGGCCACTGTGTGCCATGGTGCTCTGGAGAAGGCTGGGGGCTGGGCCCTGGGGGAGGAGCCTCTTGGGTGTGGGTGGTAGCAAACCAGGGGGCTGGGGCATGCCGATCCTGTTTGCCTCTTGGTGAGCAGATCACCAGCAATTCCTGATTTCTTTTGTTCTTCTCTGTACATTCTAAATGTGTTACAATAAGCTTTTTCTGTATATTTCAAATGTACTATGACAAGATGTATTACTTTTGGGATCACACACAAACATAAGTGCTCCTTGGGATGCAGCAAGGAGAAAAGGGCAGGAACCAGAGAAGTAGGGAGTTCCCAGTCCCAGTCCATCTTGCCACCAACTCGCCATGTGGCCACAGACACCTGAGGGTGCCTAAAGACTTAGTGTCTGAGAACACTGCTACATGGATATTGGACCAACACTGAGGCCAGGCTGGGTGAGTCCCACTGCCTGCAGCAAGGAGCCCACAGAGGTGAGAGGTCCTGGACAGGCCCCACCCCAGCCACCCTACTAGAGGACCAGAAAGATGGGAAGAAGGGCTGCTGTACCTTATTCACCATAAGGGCCACGTGAGTCAGCAGAGATAGCACCCGACTGCCAGAAACACATTCCCTTGGGGTTAGATCAATCAAGGCATGTACCTGAAAGGGGTACCAGGCCCCCTCTCATTGAGGACAGATGGTGGTCCTGTCTCCCTGAGACAGGCAGTGAAGGGTAGGGCTTCTAGATGCCAAGTCAGGGGCAGTAGGTTTTACCTGCTGTTTTTTGCAATCTCTGTCAACCAAGATCCTAAAATTCTCACCTAACAGAAGGGAATAGGATATGGAGGACCTCCACCCCCTACCCCCTCTCCCATAATGAAACAGAGACAGTAAGACTTGGCAATGTCCAAATTTGCTGCAGTCTTCACAGACAGGGCCAGGCACCTTGCTTTCCTGAAGTCCCTGATCCTAAGCCAGTGAGTCCCTTCCTTTCTCATCCCTACCTAATGGGCCCACAGTCTACACCCATGTGCACCTAGAGGCACATCCGAGGGTGCCCAAACCCATTTCTCACAGTGCAGCCTTTATTGGCCACAGAGAAGAGGCTCCCTGCTGCGCCTGCGGGTAGGAGACTGGTTCTGCAGCAGGTTTGAGGGGAGCCCGAGCTAGAATTTGGAAGAGAGGAGGTAGAGAACAAAGCCCCCTCCCCACTTTGGGGCGGAGGGACAGGCAGCACCCAGCCCTGTTTCCCCCCCGCCCCGCCACTGCGGGAGCAGCTTCGCCCAATCTCCCCCACACCGTGCTTGAGACCGGGTTTTCAGGCAAACAGGGCCCTAGAATGGGGATGAGGGGCAGCCACGCCCAGAACCACACCCCACGGCGGTCGACCGGATTGGGGGACATTCCGTCGGGTTCTCGTTTCCCTTCTCATACACGCCACACATACACAGGGATACGCCAACTTCAGCCCCACCTGCCTACACAGAACCTGCCTGACCTGCGGGCCCCTCCCTCAGTGTGCATTTTGGGCGCCGCCCGGTTATCCCTCACCTGTCGGGCTCTGGCACCCGGCCACTTTCCCCTGTCCCACTCCAGACCGCAGTGCCCCGAGATGGGTACCCAATATGGGTGGGGCTCCGGCCGCACAGCTCTTTACCGCAGCCTAGGCGACTCTCGCTCGTCTCTCCGCCCGGAGCAGGGCTGAGGCTGGAGCGCAGATGGTCGTAGCCGTGACCAAGGGGAAAAGACAGACCAGCCCGCCTTACCTGCGCCGCTGCCGCCGCTCAGGCTTGCAGCCCAGCCTCCGCGCACGCCGGCCTCGGACCCGCCGCCCAGCGCGTCCACGATGCCGATGCCGACGCGGATGCTGCTGCTGCTGCTGAGGCTGCGGCGGCGGCGGCGGCG